CAGCCAAACAAAGCCATCTCATTTTTCGCTGCACTTCGATGGGATACGGGTCTCCAGAAATGTGCTGGAAAAGGCACAGCGGTATATTGAGTCCTGCCAAATCGCATCTAAGGAAAAACATCCTTTGACGTCATGATTGTGGAGAGGAAGGTCAAGGATTTCATGTCCCATGTAAGGGAACAATCTACACAGAAGGTAGAGATCCGACACCTGCCCGATGCATGCACACTGGTCGGCAATTGCATTCCCTGTGCCCTGTGGCATATCGCACCCTTGCTCCGGCTCATCATCACATCCTCTATCCAGAATCACGAACTCTCGGAGAACACTGAAGTCTCTCAAAAACAGATGGAAAACATATCGCAGCGTTGCCGCCCTGTACAAGACCGATCTGACGTGCTCAGTGGGTTTGCCAGCTGATGACGTTCTGCCTTATATCTTGCGCTGGGAAGGCAATGGTTGTCCTCACTGTGTTGCAGTGCAAGTCCTTGCCGACCGCCAGAATGTCATGGTACTCAACGGCAGGACCAGCATGAAGCTCTCTATCTATGCTTCCTTCAGGGAAGCTTTCGTGCGGCAGTCGGCCGCTCCACTGTCGTCACCTACTGGCAGAGACGCAGCAGGGACGAACTTGCTGACGAGACAGGACATCTGCTGGACATGCAGGCAGGTGCGGACATCAGCTCCGATGATGAGGCCGACAAGGACGAGGTTTCTACCGCAAGGTTTTCTTTCGATGAGGACAATAAGCCAGTTGTGTCCGACAACATATTGCAGACCCTGCATCGGGAGGTGGAGGAAACACTGCGGGATCTGAGAGCTAGCACACAAAGAGTGAACGGTAGAAGCCAGTGCCGGCTATGCACGTTTCGATCTTTTTCCGAGCTGACACAGCTGCGAACCCATGTGGCAAAGCACCACAGTGCCAAGAACCAGTATGTATGTTCTGGAAGAAAGCAGATCAAGATCATATTGGCCATGCACGATCACGCTGCCTCTTCACAATGAACTTCACGCAATCTTCTCTGCGAAAGTGCAGCCCTTCTTCGAGAAGCTGTGAAGCCACCTCTGTCGAGCACGTGCAATCACATAGACAAAAGCTTGAGATTGGTGTTCGACACGGCCGGACCCAACTATGTGAACGAGGAGTGTATCGGACAAACACTGTCAGTCCGGAGAATCTGTTGATGCGTGAATTGATATTGAGCCACGCGCAGGTATCTGTGCCGCAATGTTATTTATGTCGCATTGATGACAAACAAGTTAGAGGGTCAGAGTGTTCGATGTGCATACTTATCTATTTTCCGGCAAGCCACAGGTACGAACTATCATGACGCGCTGTCACATGGCAACCCTTCAGAGCGGCAACCGAATCTCTACGAACGTCCCAACACATGGCATGCACTGGCTACCAATGCTTGAAGACATCACTACGTCACCTTCGTTCAAGCAACGAATAGAGAAAATGACCAGTGCGTTTGAGAAAGACGAGGAATGGACATACATCAGCATGGACGCCACCCTCAAGCTCTGTTTGAAGCTTAAGGGGCAAGAACTTCGTAGAGCTCCTGCCGATGTTCGAAATGCAGCACCTTTCGAAGATGAAGTTGGGTGGAGCCGTTTATTGACAGTCAGATGACGTTCAGGTGCGGCTTTTGCACCCGCTCCAATCAGAAAGTTCGGAGCATGTTGCCGCTGCTCTGCAGGAGAACTTCACCAGTAAACAGCTGGAGTCTGTTCAATACGTGACGACAGACAGCCCGTCTGGAAAGTTTTTCAGCGAGATGTTGATGATCTGTCCGAATATCAGATCCATGATGCTGGGTTCCGTACATCTTGCGATTGTTTTCGAGTACAGCTTCTGGAACAAGAAGAGCCCTGGTCCCAAGCAGCTGCGAGAAGTACTTCGCAAGACCACAGCCCTCGATACCGAGGTGGGTGAGAACTGCTGGGGCTCTTTCTGCAACGGTGACATGTCCCGACCCTTGAACAAGCAAGAATCCAAGTACCGCGACATGATTCTGAATTTCTCCATGCCTTCAGTAGAAGCTGGTGTGATCTTCGACACACTTGTTGATCACCGTCCTTCGTTCGGAGTTCATCAAATGTCTAGCAGCCCTTATTTTGCATCCGCTACGAGCGGGAAGTGTGTCGCGAAGCAGCAGGACCCAACAAACAGATCTGCAAGATCTTGCGGGCTGCTTGTGCCCCTGACCGTGTGGAGTGGTTGTGCAACACTATGCGAATCCGTCACAAGATTTCGCAGAACCATCTCATCTGAGCTTTTTGCCCAGCGGCGCTTCAAGCAATGAGGCGCTGCTTGCCGAGATTAGTTCGTGGTCCGGTAGCACTAATGACACTAATGCCCTTCATCGCTCGACCTTGGCGCTGAAACTGCTTTACTTTCGTTTCATTAAGCTGTTGGAGCATTATTTGGCCAGCCGGTATCCGATGTCGCGCGTAGTCACTGCGACCATGCTCCTGGGCATTTCTCTGCACGAATCCTTGTGGCTACCAGGGACCTGGGATGAGCCAAGGCCCTCAGGCCACGTCACCTTTGCGACAGGGCGAAGCCCAAGCTGTGAAGAAATGGTTGATGAAGAAGCCATCGTCGGGTCGCATCAAATCTTCGAAGAAGACTGTCAAAGCAGCGCAGCTTTCTGCGAGGAGACTGCGCACCCTTCGAAGCGTAGGTGTCAAGAAGAATACGGAAGCCGTCTCCCCCCCTCTGCGCAATTGTGATGCCATGTCACGGGGGCTATGTTGGCTTGTGAGCCTGGTGAACTTTCCTTTGTGAGACCGGATCTGCCGTAAGATGCAAAAATCTAGACGGTACCAAAGGTATCAGTCTGTGACAAGGTTTGAGTTACTGGAAGCCTGTAAGAGCAACCAGGAAAAGGGGGTAACAACTTTGTAGAGCAACTGTAGACCTCTGTTTCAGTGCATATCATGATGTATGTTCATCCACTATATTGCAAGTCACGACTGATTTGAATATGCTGCAATGAGGCTCAAGGTGTGTGAGAACAAGGGACCGTGGCTTTCCTTCGAGCCTCTGGACTCGCAGACTAAAGTCACACTCAAGGACTATATTGATGCGGTTTCTCGGCACTGATGTGTAACTCTATGAAACAGCGTCCACACCTTGGGTGATGTGTATTCTCGCCGACTGGTGCATGCCCGTCCACAACAGGCTTTGGGGGTTGCATGGGGTCAGGCTGGTGCGAGGTGTGCTGGAGGTGACATGTCTCCAGGCATGCAAGCTGGCTCAAGAGGTGGAGATGCAGCTGACATGCTGTGTCAGCATAATCGATTGGTATGTTTCAAGGAACATTGGAAGATGAACGGCCGACAGCCATGCATTCCGGTAATAACTTTTTAGCCAGTGATTATGGCTTGTATACATAGCCTGTTAACAAAATTGGCCCTAAAGGTCTCGGGCACATATATATATATACACATACATATATATATATATATATCTAGATAGATATGTACCAACTTGTTTGCCGACATACATCATACATACATGCATACATGCAGACACGCATACTCGATGGGTCAGTTGACCCCCCCGTGCCTTTCATGGTGTGGCCCCCTTCCCTCCCCTCAATGGAATGGTGTGGTGGGGTTGGAGGGGCGCAAGCCACAAGGAGTAAACCCTAAACCTCAATCCGAAACCCTGCATGTACCGTATAAGCCCGAAAAGACCCAAACCCTAAACTCTGGCGGTCTGAAGCCTTGGAGCCGCCCCCCGGGAGATCTCGCATTGCAGTAGTTGCACAGTTTCGGAGTTTAGATGGCATTGTGTGATTTTTGTCTCGGCGAACTGTAGCGCTGTGTTGTTGTGTGAACGACCACAACATCAGTATCTTCACGTTCGGCACTCTCACAGAAAATCGTGCGCCTGCGTACACACATTTAGTCACTCCTTCAGCGTAGTCTGAAACCATTCAGTTGTCGACGACTGTTGGTGTGCTTGAATATGCTATACTAGACAAAAGTGTGCTGAAACACATTGGCGAAGCATGGCTGGCGTGTCATGTTGTATCAGTGTGTCGGACTGTCAGCCACAACGTGACAGAAAGCATAGCATAGCACTGCAGGCTTGTGTAGAGATTTTGAGGACTGCTGCGTAGTTCAACATCCCGCGTCAGAAGACATGACAGAGGCAAGCAAGAAAACAGGGCAAGGGATCTTAAGGGGTAATTTTTGTATGCTCATGCTTATGCTTCTGAGAGTACAACTAAATGCTTAAATGATGCAGTTCAGGAGAGACGAGCAGAGCAGACCAAGCACGTGCAAAACAATGAACAAGCATGTGCGCAGATATCATGTTGCACCGTTTGCAATTCCGGTGAAATTGCAATCGGCGAGCTGGGGACACCAGCTCCTACGTGTGTTTCATGTATCGTTCCCCACGCACGCACATGAACACCAAAAAAGCAGGAAGCAAGTAGTGGGCAGCATCCTCGGCACCGAACTCCAAGATTGAAGCGGTTTGTGGGATCGTGTTTACAAGCTGGGACTCCAGCGCAAAGGGAAGCAAACTCGCTACCATTTTTACAGTGTTTTGCATGATGACTCAGCTTTTTCGTTCGGAGGCGTTTGGGGGGATGTGGGATTTCGGCTCTTGAGGCATTCGGCCTGGGCAGCGTGAAGGTGTCACGATTGAGGCTTGAGGTGTCGCAGGCCAAAGCGGTGTAGGCTTTCTTTGCTTCCCTATTGCAGCTTCTTGTTGCTTCCCTATTGCAGTACCTGGAATTCGCACCCTGAAGCTGCAGGGCGTCCCTGTGAGGATTCCTGACCTTGATAAGTTGTAGTGCCAAGCTTGCCAAACCAATGACTCCTGTGCTGGCAAGAAGATGTGTTAGCGGCATGCAGGCTAGGATCAGCTCAAGAATGCCATCCGCATCCATCCGACAGCCGTAGAACCAAGGCCCACAAGGCTTCCATGAAACCAAGCTGCTTTCTTGACATATCAGCTCTATCCTGCAAGGATGGACGAAGGCCTCAAGCAGGAAGTCGAATCTTGGATCAAGGTTCGTGTTATATCGACATTTGCGGATCATTCACCTTGCCTGGCGTGAGAGACGAGGGCTCTTCAAGCCAAGGAGTCCCTCCGTCGCCGGATCGCTTCCACGCTGGAGGAGTGCCTTCCCAAACTTCTTGGGATCATTTGGGTAGTTTTCTAAATTAGGGTCTCCTGTTTAGAAGGGTGCCGTACTATATTTGGGACTTAAAAAGGGGCCCCAGTTCAGAGAACTACCCATTTCAAATCATCCACGAAGCTGATGCCTGGAGGAGGCCGAGGAGTTTCGGCACGTCGCTGCAGCCGCCCGCGCAGCCTGCGAGATGCAGCGAACCGCGGAGGAAGCCTGGTGAACTCGTGGTGGTCTTTGCTCCCGTGTTTTTTGGGAGGTGGAAAGCAACCTGCAAGGGCTGGTAGGAAGTGTAAGCTCCGTCGTGTTCACGCTTGTGTTTGTCCGCTTTCTCTTATCGAAGACGCGTATCCCGTGCTCAGTCGCCGGACGCATCACCTGGGTCCACGGCGACACCAGAAGGCGAAGGGCAGGCCAGGCTTGCGCGAGATGTCGGTTTAGGAGCAGATGGGAGCAAGGCACTTCGCAGTTGAGCTACGTGGGTTGATGAACAGCTACTCAACATGCTCATCCTCATCCCCATCCCATCTTCTTCCCCGTCGTCATCATAGAAGTTATGGATCGGATCTGCCTGCCTTGCAGAAGGACATGACGGTTGACGAGGATGAAGATAGCGCGGACGACGAAGACACCGTTCTCCTGAAGCAGAAGATCAAGGCTTCATGCCAAGTGGCTTTTGGTCCAATTTTGGTCAGTGGGAAGGGCTCTGGCCAAAGGCTGCTGCTCTCACGGTTTCGCTCTGCTAGCTGCTAGACTCCGCTAGACCGTACGCCTGGCGTCCAGTGACGAGGCCCAGCGGTCAGAGCTGGATCGCCTCACGGAAGTCTTCCAACGTCAGCAGGCGTCTGGGACTTGACGAATGGTTGTAAAAGTTGTCGAAGATAGCAACATCGTAATCCAAACCGTGATCGAAAGCCCGCGTTGATGATCCAGTCAGCATGGTCGTCCCCCTGTTTTGGAACGACATGTGTCAGGAACAGCTGGGCATACTTCAAGACCAGATCTCGGGCAAGACTTTCGAGAAGCAGAAGCAGGTTCAGCGTGAGGTCCAGGCACTTCCGGGACTGTTTGGATGGTGAGCTTGCGTCGTTTTGAGTTCGGGCGTCAGCAGGATCGCCGTCGAAGCTTGTTTCATGTGGCCCTGAGCCTGACAATCCGGACCGCTGTGCGGTGGCAAGGCAAAGCTCCGGGACACCGAAACGCAGGCCGAGGTCGCGGGCCCAGAAGCAGCTGAACTTGAGACACACCCGAGCTTCAATGGCATCCCAGGCATCCGACGGTGTTTAGCTCGGGTTGTTTTATATATCAGTATACAGCATACATCAGTGCGGTGTCCACCACAGCACCTCTTCCTCTATCCCATGTCCAGAACCACAAAGCCTCTCCAAGTTTCCCCATGGGAGGGCATTCTGCGGCAACTTCGATCCGTGGAAGCGGAATCCCGGCAATCGACAGAGTTGAAGCACGGAGCCCAGTGCTGGAGCCACTTTAGGTTTGGGCTGGTAGCTCGGTGCAGCGCGTTCTTGGGGCCTCCGCGCCGCGCTGGACCCTGCTTCGGCGTTGCTGCGTTGCTGAAGTCTTTTAGGGTTTCGGCTTTGGGGCTCGCTTTATAGTTGTGAGGCAGCAGCTCCGCGACTTTGCCGAGCAGGCGATTCATCGAGAAAGTGCAGGGTGCTCAGGAATCCAGGGTTTTGAAGCTTTGTCTGTGCCATGGGGTGATGGATGGAGCTCGCATCAGGTGTGCGAAGCTGCCAAGGACGTTTCATCACACCCGCACAACCCGGCATCCCGTGCGATCAGCCACCCTCGCCAGCCCCCCCCCCCCCCAATCTGTGGGTCTCGCAACAAGCCGAAAGCGGACACCCAGCACGAAGATGTAATAGTCACTGTGAAAAGCCTCGGCTTGGTTCGGAACATCGTTTGTTTGAAGATGCAACAGGCTCCAAATTGCCCAGTACCAATACCTCACATGCGTTTCTGCTTATGAAATTCTTTCCGGAATCAGCTCAGCCTGTGCTGGTCATGATGCCCCCGTGCAATGAATTCTGACACTTCGAAAGAGGGTCTTATGCGAAAGCCCCGAAGCGCAGCATGAGGTGCTGGCAGAGATGCGCCTGGTTTTCGGGCACCAGGCGGATCTGATGAGCCACTAGGTCCCAACATTCACACGCATCGCGCGAGCGGCGAAAATGCAGAAAATCCCCGGAAGCTGAGCCTAAACACTGGTGAATCCCGAGTTCCGGAATGTTGCAACTTTCTCTACTGTGCTCTGTGTCTCTGTCGACCAATGTTGCTGCTTGTTTAGCGCATGAGGGCGCACGAAGTGCCGACCGCAGTCGGATTCGTTTCGAATCTTCGTCTGCACCCTGTCATCCCGAAACCTGAACCCTGCATACTGTACCCTCTAAAGTCTCTAAAGAGCATGACAGGCATCTGCAGATGCCGTGCTTCGTGAGAGGCTCTCCGGGGTGCTACGTGATAGTACTTGGGCTGAAGTGAAGGCTTTGAGATACGGAAAGTGCTTGTGGCATCATGATATATCAACCCCCAGGCCGGCTCTTTTCACTACTTCAGGCTGCACCGTCAAGTCTTGTGCTGGTGCCTTGGCACTCCCGCTTGCACGGCTCTCATGCGTCCCAGCGAGGGCGCCACAATGGCCTTCGCACCGTAAGGCGCCGTAAGAAGGTCTACGGTAAGCATCCCGCAGTTGGAAAGGATCAGGACACACAAGCATCTGCATTTTCCGAACAACACTGACAGGTTAGCACTCGTTAGAACGAAAGTTTGAAGCCAGCCGCCACGTGAGCCCGGCTGCTGCCACATCGCATTGCGAGGCCAGCCTTTCGAGCAGCTTGTGCTTTGTATGCTTTGTTTGTGCTCTGTGGCTGAGTTCGCCAAAGTCGGAATTCGGTCCGTGCCGTTGAATTCTGCATTGTTAAGCTTTTTGACTACCTGAGCCCCTGTGTCCGGACGGTTGGCTTCAGATCTTGGAGTCAGCGTCGGAGTCTGAAGGTTCAGCCGCCTGCAGAGTCGGCCACCTTTAAAGAGAGATCAAGTTGTGCAGAGACGTGTCATGTGATTGAGATACACATCCTTGCGTCTACGACGTACTGGAATGGTTTTGCTCTGGAGTGATGCAGCGATCTGGGAAGCGAGTTGAGCAAAAGAGCATGAGTGATGAGCATTCGGCATTCGTGTTGGCACTGGCCTTCGATGACGCCAACTTTCAATGTAGTGATTAGTTTTTGCAGTGCAATCAGTTCTAGATCTGCTGAACGTGAGGTGTGTGCCATGGATCGGCTTGACGTCAGGCACACTTTCATTGATGCCAAGGACGGGAGGAGGCTAATGACCTGGTTCTTCCATGTAAGCTGCACATAAGATACTTCTGTTTTGCTAGGAAAGGATGTGAGCATTGTACGATCACAACCCAAAGTTGATGAAACTTGGGACAGGCAACCCGAACAGCTCAGCTGAGGCATCGGCCCTTTAACTTTACCCCGTCAAGAGCAATGATGGACATCACCTCGCCCAGCTGTAAACAGACCTCAAGCACGGTGCTGTAGCAGAAGGATAAAATTCAATCACTACCGTGGGTCCAGAAGTTGTTCTGGCTCTTTGTCAGCGGGCCGATGCTGTTGTTGCTCATAAACACGTTGCACTGGTCTTCAATCCTGGATTTCTTGACATCGCAACTGCAGACCAAACATGTGTTATCTTCCTTTTATTTTGATTCTTTATTCTTTTTGTGTGTTTCGCGTACGGATTGGAAATCGCTGATTTCATCTTTCTGTGATCGCCAAAGTACAGAGATAAAGCGCGATCTGCTTGTCCTCTGTGCGCTGACATATCCTGTCTTAAGCTTCCGTTCCGCCACTCGTGTCGGGTCGTCCTACAGGTCCTACATCTAATGCAGCTCTGAAGTTCCATCCATCTTCTTCCATCCTCTTGCTCCACCAAATTTTCCTGGCATGACAAATTGGGACTACTCGTGCCAATTGAGCCTGTGAACGTCTGTCTTTCCATTGCACCGAATCCTTGCCCTGCAAATTGTGGTCAACTCATCTGTCTAGAACACAACATGGTGCATGGGCCATAGGCACATGGGAATGTTCAGATTGTGCATTGCTGCAGCTTTGGCCATGAGGCAATAAGCAAAGCAGGCTGTGGCGGGATGTTGGTGCGGCGATAGGTTGTGGTTTGGATTCGTTGGGAGTGATTGCAAAGCTAAGGAAGCTCTAGCCGCTAGCCTACACGAGGCTCTCTGTGCTCGGGTTAGGCGGGATGTCTCAAGGTCCTGTCTCCAAGTTCTACAGTAGGGCCTTCGCCAGTAGTGATCAGTCTTATGATTTCATGGCTCTCGCGAGAGCACCCAACTTCAGATCTAAGTCCAGGCAGCCGACAGGTCTAAAGCTAAGCTTTCCACTCCTCGGAGGACGAGCCGGAGCCCTTTCATCGCTCAGTTTCGGCCCCTGCAGAGTGCATGCGGCTGCGGCCGTCCACGGACGAGAATGAGCTGGAACTGCAGAGTCAACGATGTTATGTGAGACTTGTCTTAGGTTGAAGAGGCCCCGTGTAGGCTGGCAGTCGCTTGGCGGTTCTTTACAGCGGCAGTTTTAAATGAGGCTCTCATAACACATAGTTGCAAGCGGCGTTTAGTTTTCAACTTTCCCGGCTGCCGATCCAAAACTTCACAGTGTTGTATTGCCTCCACGCAGAATGCACTTCTGATGCAAACCTGGGTTCGCTGAGAAGGCCAGGCGTTCAGCGTCCCCATCTTCACGTGGATGAGAATATCAATCATCATCATCATCATCATCATCATCGTCATCGTCATCGTCATCGTCATCATCGTCGTCAGCTTCTTCATCACCACCACTACCATCATCACCACCGTCATCATCATCCTCTTCCGGCCAGCCTCCTGCAGGCTCCCGGTTCAGAAGTGCCCGAATGCGCAGCATTATGACTTTGCGGTATGAGGCGTGTTCAAATGCAGCACAAAGTACCCCATTGTATGCGAATCTACCTTGGCCCTCGTTTGTTCGTGGCGTCCTGTTTAAAACGCAACACAGAAAGCCGGGTCTAGAAGGAAATAGTCCACGCGGCCGATATCAAGACTTCCGGTGGGCCTGGCTTGCTAACCTCAGCTCCGCATGGACAGGCAAAAGGCCAACCACCTGAGATACTTGGTGATCCTTTGGAGGCACTGTACCCTCACTATGAATCACCCAAGCATACCACGCTTAAATCCCGAAAAGGAGGGGCCGGGAAAGCAAGCATATCCAGAGTCGAGGAGAGAGCTGGACTTCGAGGTGGGCCGACAGTGGGCTGCGGTCAGGGCCGCGCGAGCGGCACTCCACGCTGGGTGAGCGTGGTGAGTGCCGTCTCGCTCAGGGCTCTACATGACTCGAACACGAGTGTCAGCGGCGTTTTCTGCAGTGAACTTGGTTCTGCAGATTCTGCGGATAGCAGCAAAGATGCTGAGATGCAGCTCGTCTTGACAGGGCGACAATCAAAGTTTCCTGTAGCCCAAGACCAGCAGCATTGACAGTGCTCGTGGTAACAGTCGCTGTAGTAGTGACAGTCGTGGTAGTAGCAGCCACAGCTTGTATTCCGATCCTTGTGGCAACAGAGATCATCGGCAAAGGTAGTAGGTAGTGGAGGTGGTAATGAATGGTCCATTCGCTAGCAAGAGGCCGCAGAGCTGTATGGGCTTGTTGTTCAGAATCTCCACCTGAACCATTATTTGATGGTTAACTTCATGTTTCAGTCTTCATTTGTATATGTGTGCCCTTTTTCCGGGGGTGGGCTGCATCTGCAGCAGTGACATCAGTTTGTCAAGTCTTGCGGACCACGGAGTCCGTCGACCGGATTTCCAGGCTGCGAGCTTCGATCGCTCCACCGAGAATGTCCTCTCATTTTTTTGCAATTTCGCCTCAAACAGTGCAGCAACTGTATACTTTTTAATGCATTGTCTGTCGGCTGCAAGCTTGCACCTAGAAGGAGCAGCCAGCAGGAAGTCATTCTCAATGATCTGTCTTCCATGTCT